TGCATTTTCTGCCATACCTATGCTTGCTATTTGGCCATGTTTATAACTGTGAAAGTGCCTTTTTGGGACTGCCTAGCTTCTGTCTTTGCATTTCATGTCCGTATTGTGCATGATTTGCATAGCTATAGAGCCATTTCGGGTGCCTAAAATTCGCATTTCGGGACAATTCCATGCATTTGGTATCATTTCGCCTCATTTCGGACTGTTTTCCCCCATATTTTAGTGCTGAAATTCCATTAGCATGCTTGCAATATCATTTTTTCCATATTGCATCGCATTTTGCCATCGCCTTGGTTTGCGTGCCCGTTGTGCACGGCATTTCGGCACTTCATTTTTATCATTCGGCATCCTATGTGAGTGTGGCTAAGGCTCACTCATGTGGTATAAGCCCATATCATTGCTTGCATATCATTTTTGCCATATTACATCACATTCTATCATCGCCTCGGTTTGCGCGCCCGTGTGCACGCATTTCGAAGCACTTCATTTTTTATCATTCGGCATCTTATGTGAGTGTGGCTAAGGCTCACTCATGTTGCGTATAAGCCCATATCATTGCTTGCATATCATTTTTGCCATATTAACATCGCATTTTGCCATCGCCTCGGTTTGCCGCGCCCGTGTGCACGCATTTCGAGGCACTTCATTTTTATAAGCCCATATCATTGCTTGCATTATCATTTTTGCTATTACACTCGCATTTTGCCATCGCCTCGGTTTGCGGCCCGTATGCACGGCATTTCGAGGCACTTCATTGTTATCATTCGGCATCCTATGTGAGTGTGGTGAGGCTCACTCATGTTTGGTATAAGCCTATATCATGTTTTCATGTCAATTTCATCGCATTCTGCCGTCGCCTCGATTTGCGTGCCCGTGTGCACGCATTTCGAGGCACTTCATTTTTATCCGTCGGCATCCTATGTGAGTGTGGCGAGGCTCACTCATGTTGGTATAAGCCCATATCATGTTTCCATGTCATTGCATTGCGTATGCCATCGCCTCGTTTGCGTGTCCGTGTGCACGCATTTCAAGGCGTCTCATTTTCATTGCATTCATGCATTTTCTCGTTTGCGTGCCCTGTGCACGCATTTCGAGGCATCTCATTTCATAGCATAGTGCATACTAGGTTGTATCTTTAGATCACATTCTGTCATTTCTCTCGGTTTTGCGTGCCCGTGTGCACGCATTTCGAGGCATGTCATCCCATAGCATGTGTATACGTTAGGGTATATCTTTAGTTGCATTTCATGCATATCATGCATATCATGCATATTGTATCATGTCCGGAATAGGAGTTAGCCGGGCACCAGAAACGAGGTACATTTTCGTACTCCGAGTGATGGAAATGTGTCTCAATTCCCCAGTCACCGACCCTCCGGATTATCCATGATGGAGTTAGGTTTTAGCTGTAGTTTCATGTGCATTCATCCTATATTGAGTTGTGCATTTCGACTCTCGGCCATCCATGCCTCGGTATGCGTGATTGGTGGCACGAGGATCGAGACCTGCAATATATCTGTGAAATACATTGCTATGCCCCTTTCCTGCTCTTTGTTGCAGCAAAACAAAGAATCAGCAACCTTTTGGGGCTTGGCACGCATTCAAGAACAGGTGTAAACAGAGGCTAATTGGGGCATTCCGGTGGATTTCGCGCAGACAACCCGGACATGCATCATCCATCAGAAGCAAGGCACCCCTGGCTTGCACGCCAGTTTATTTTGCTTTCTTAGTTAATTCATTAATTAATTAGGATTTGTGTAATATTTGGACTGTAATATTTGGACTGTATTATTTATTCGGACCCTCCGAGTGAGGGCACAACTGTAATAAGTGTGCGTGAGTGTGATGTATGTCTTCCCAACCCACGTCTTTCTCCCTTTTATTTATCCGCTTATGATGGTTAGATTAGGGCATATTTCAATTGCATACAGTATGACAGCATGTTTTGCATTCATTCATCTGTTATTGCATGCACCGGGCTCGGCGCATTATACTAACTGCATTGTACTTTCAAATTTCAAAGTTGAATAACATGATAGTTGTAACATTTCATATGCCATCTTAGAATAGCCGAGCCTGCTATAGTTGCATTTTTGCATGTGTTGGCATTAGGCATTTCTGTATATTTTGAGGATCATGCATGATTTTCTAATGAATCCTATTTTGGCTTGGAGTACTCGGTAAGTTTTATGCTTTAGCATCCTTGCATGCGTGTGAGTGACTGCCATGAATAGCATGCTTACCATGAGGCTATGTTTCTTAATTTGATTATAACTGTCCTGAACGCCTGTGGGTGAAGGTTGGGTTACTTAAATTGGAATAAATCATCAAATGTTTTAAAGCCTATCTGCGAGTAGCCAAACCATTTAAAAAAACAAGCATGAAATGTTTCGCTTCCAATTCAGGCGACCGGTCTATATTTGCATGCTGTGCGCATCACGTAGTAACCTAGGCTAATAAACCGGAATAAGAACTCACAATATTTTCAAAAATTGGATATCATGGTTAGTAGAGGCCGATCTATGACCGGGCGAGCGGGGGTGCTCACGAAGTGACCTTCCCCAATCGTACCCAAGTTCCCGAGCCGAGGCAACTTTGGTGATGACGGACACGTGGCCTTTTGCACCGAGTCAGGGTTTCCTAAAATTTCCCAAAAATAAATATTTAGGTGGCGACTCTGTATCTGGCAAAGCAGTCCATGTTGGCACTTCTTTCAAAAATCAGTTTTCTCAAAACGATTTGCCGGATTTGGACTCTTTGGTTCAGACTTAGAACCGTTGACTGACGAAAGTCGAGTCCGAGCTGTAGCGAGGTCCCCCGCGGGCCTGTCTACAGTTTCTGGCGACTCTGCTGGGGATTTAGAGAACTTGACTCGAACTCATGATATCTGTTTTTGATTACACTTTGTGTGATTCTTTGCATTGCATTTGCATTGGTGCGCCTAGGACACCGTGTTTGCCATCTGCTATTCCTGAACGGTTTTGCCGGAGGCTTGTTCTTGTCAAGGCATGACCATAAGGCTGACCGGTTGTGGGCTCTGCCAGTTATGGAGTTTTTTTTTTGTTTTTTTTGTTACAAAATAAGAAAAGAATGTAAAGGAATGAAATATATATTTTTTTAAATATTGTGACCAACAGTTATATTTCACGGTAGAGGCCTTCGCCCCTCATACTCTTCTCTTAATTATATGCACATGAACACAAAAATGAATTCTTGATTTTTTATAATTAAAAAAAAACACTGCTAAACAAATTGCACATACAATAGATATAGATGTCGTTTTGAGTGTAAAACAACGTCGTTTTGACCGATTTGAGCCATTTGAGCCACAAAAGTGTTGAGCAGCTCATGAATGATGGGTTTTCTGGGTGTTTGGTTAGGTCGAGGCATCAACCAATCAGGTGGCGGACCAGGAGATGCCGATGTATAATCTTCCATCAAAGATCCTTTGCCGTGTGCTCAATGTCCAATTGAAGGTATTATCAAAATTATCATCCATTTGATGGATGTTGTATTTGGGTTCTTAATGGTTGGTCATGGGTTTTGTTTGTTTGGATTTTAACTTTGCTGATGTAGCTGTTTTCTGATTTTTATCTGTATAGGCTGAACCGGACACTGATGAGGTGTTTGCCCAAGTGACCCTGCTTCCTCTAAAAGTAAGTTTGCTCTGATCATGCTAAAGGCAATAGACATAGAATTTAACCCTAACAGGTTGATGTTGTTAATGCCAGGAAGATGAGAATGAGGCGGAGAAAGAACCTATGCCTTTTTGTGAGAGAATAGTGTAATGATTATGGATTGGATGTGATATTTTATTTTTTTGGCTAAAATAACCTATTTTATCTTTTGTGACTAAAATAGCAAAAAAAAATCAAATCTAACTCTTCCCAAACAGAGCTTTACGTTTAAAAAATATATATATATATATATTTAACTTGGTTTCATTAAAAAAAATAAATTATTTGAAGGTGGTCAAACAGACATGTAAATATTCCAAGGACTACTAGAGAATCAATTATCCTATCGAACAACTTCTCAAAAAAAAAAAAAAAATGTTCCCGGACCCTGTCGCATTTTCTGTGGTGGTTCGCTGCATCCACGGCCTATTCCCGGTAAAAGGAGGTATGGGTTACCTGCAACACCCGGTTGGCACACGGGTTAGAGTTTTGACCATGGTTGAAATGATTCACACCTCTGGTTAACCCTTCCCTCTCTCTCTTTCTCTGTGTTTTTCCTCGCCAGACTAGGCAGAAAGGACAGTGTACGATTGTTCGGGTACCTGCACACCAATCCAATCCAATCCCATTCTAGAGAGAGAAAAACAGCATCTCTCTCTCTCTCTCTCTCATATTAGTGCAGATATAGAGAGAGAAAGTGTAAGTATAATCGAATTCTCCAAGTTTGTTTGGCCAATCTCTTCTATAGAGAGAGAGAGAGAGTATATAGTTTCAAGTTTGTTGCGAATTGGAGCTGTGAAGGTAGGGTTTGGATTGAGAGAGAATTGATTGTTGAGAATCGATTTGACTAGGTTGGGGTTTCAGATGAGAGATCTGTGTTAAAGCTTCACGAAAATGGCTTCTTCAGAGCTGTCATTCAAAGGAAACGCTAGAGGAGGAGGAGAGTGCTTCTCTTCGGGTTACAGTGACCATAACGATGGCGCCGGACTGTCTAGGAGCGCTTCCGAGGCGGCGCCGAAGGGTTATTCCACTGTTTCCGGCGCCGGGAAAGGTAATTCCGGCGAGTTTACAGTGATCTCTGGCTCTGATTTCGAGTATTTTATTTAAATTTTTTTTCTTTATTTGTTGGTGCAGTGGATCCCGAAACCGCGCTTTACACGGAGCTATGGCGCGCTTGTGCTGGTCCGCTCGTGACAGTGCCTCGTGAAGGCCAGCGCGTGTTCTATTTTCCTCAAGGACATATTGAGCAGGTTAGTTTCCAACTCTGGGCAATCGTATTCGGACTTCTTTGTTTCTCTCAGAGGTTAGATTCATTAGGATTTCTCATAATTCTCTGTAATTTTATCCGTTTTGTCTCTCTTGGTTGTGCATCTCCAATTGTTCATCAATTTTTTCATCAGATTCAAATTTGATGAAAAAAATGGCTTCAACCATTTCATAAAATCTGTATCAAATAAAGTAAGAGGCAATTTTTTCACCAAACCTTTCACCAAATTTCTAACAGTCATATTTTTACTCAAATTTAATGAAATTTTAGAAAGTGTGATTGGTGATGATTTTCTTTAATAAAAAAATGGTTAAAAGATATTCTTAAAATAAGTTTGTAATTTTTTAGAAAATTTTGATTTAAAAATATATATATTATATAAATAAATAAAAGAGTATATGTTGGAGTATTTCATATCAATTAAGCTTTTAAACAATTTTTACTCAAATTTGATGGGAAAAAAAAGAATAGAGTAAGAATTGTAGATGCTGTAGTCACACATGTCACGAAGCATTAGGGCAAGAATTTATTTTGCAATTAAGAAGAGTTTACAGAGTTTTTTGTTATTTCTGTACATGGGTTGTGTTGAGCAGCTCAAGAATGATGGGTTTTCTGGGTGTTTGGCTAGGTCGAGGCATCAACCAATCAAGTGGCGGACCAGGAGATGCCGATGTATAATCTTCCATCGAAGATCCTTTGCTATGTGCTCAATGTCCAATTGAAGGTATTATCAAATTTATCATCCATTTGATGGATGTTGTATTCGGGGTTTTAATGGTTGGCCAAGGGTTTTGTTTGTTTGGGTTTTAACTTTGCTGATATAGCTATTTTCTGATTTTTATCTGTATTGGTTGAACCAGACACTGATGAGGTGTTTGCCCAAGTGACCCTGCTTCCTCTAAAAGTAAGTTTGCTATGATCATGTTAAGGCAATGGACATAGAATTAAACCCTAACAATTTGACGTTGTTAATGCCAGGAAGATGAGAATGAGGTGGAGAAAGAACCTATGCCATCTCCACCACCACGCTTTCATGTGCATTCTTTTTGTAAGACCCTAACTGCCTCAGATACTAGCACTCATGGTGGATTTTTGGTGCTAAGACAGCATGCTGATGAATGCCTTCCCCCTCTAGTTAGGATTCATTACTCATAGACTCATGCGTCCTGCACATTTGCTTTGTTAGAAGTAGATTCTCATACAAATTAGTGTTTGCTATTTTGACAGGACAAATCACGGCAACCACCAACTCAGGAGTTGGCTGCAAAGGATTTGCATAGAAACGAGTGGCATTTCTGACATATCTTTCGGGGTAATTGCTGAAAATATTCTTTTGTCAGCTTATATAGTCATTTGAAATACCATCCATAACGCATTCTATGCAAGTACATCAAGAAGTTAGGGACTTATATTTATGTTTTAAAATCATGGCACTATTGAGTTTGGCTTGTGATTATAGGAGGTGCATCAATTTTGCTAACTTACATTGCTTCTGAAAGATCATTCCGGGGTACATTTCAATTTTGTCTTGTTTACTCAATTCTATCATTAGTCCATCTGACCAATTACACAAGGAGCAAATGCTGTCAATTGAAACGTTTCTACATGCAGATATGGATGCTACTGCTTTATATAGGTAATACTACTGTTTTATATGGGTAATACTATTTAACAGTATTATGATTTAGAGTCACAACAGCAAATTATAAGTGATATGATGTTATAAAGTTTCTTTCTGGTATAGTATTAGTTTAAGGGAAATAGCATTTTTCAAAATTTTCTTTATTGTGATTGGCAGTTAGCTCTAACATGCTACTTAAACTTCTAGTTTATGATATAGTAGTATTACTTTCTTTTTAATTATTAACAGGGCAAATTACATATACCTCCCTCGAGGTTTAGCTAAATTACAGATACCCCCCTGAGGTTTATATTTTCATAAAAAATTGCCCCCCGAGGTTTATATTTTCATTACCTTAGAGGGGTATCTGTAATTTTGCTAAACCTCGAGGGGGTATATGTAATTTGCCCTTATTAACAAGAAAAGCTCAAAGGAATATTTAAATCCTAAGCTTAATATGCCATGAACCAATTTGATAATGGCATTGTTGATAAACTAAAACGTTCAGGGAAGCTGGAAGCATGTAAAAGAAAGGATCGATTGACCCACAAATTTTGTTGAAGGTAGAGTTAATTTTTAAATGCATGTTGTGTAGTGAAGAACATAGCAATTGATTTGGAGTGGTTAAAGATTATTTGCAGATAGAGCTGGCATAATCTTTTGATAACTTTCCAAATTATGCAGCTTGTGTTTAAGCTCCAGATAATAATTATTTTCATAGGTTACATTGCAAGTTTTTGACCCCACTTTAACAGAATTTTTTTTGTCTGGTTGCATTTTTACCTGTTCTGGATTTGAAGCAGTTGAAATATACGAACTTTCGGAAAGATTGAGTAGGGGGGCTCAAGTTAACTCCATTTAAAAATTTTATCATTCTGTTGCATGCAGAACCGAAGGATGTATGTGCTTGTCTCCCTGCCCTACCATCCTTAAATTAAAAAGGTTTTCGACTACTGCAGAACCCTACAAAGTACAAACACTCAGCTGCATACTAATTTACTGGAGCGCAGTTTGAGTTGATCCATGTTGAATTGGGATGACATTGTTTACCACATTAGCATTAAAGGTTTCATGTTTCTTGCTTAAATATTATCAAATTTATAACAACTAATGGTGAATATTTATGGATGTTAATTATACATTATTGAGAGAAAAAGAAGAATTGTGTTGGCGTATGTTTAGCCAACCATGTCCATGTCCTAGTTCTCTTTGAATTTCTGCATTGACATCTTTGTGTTGTGTCACGTTCATGTCAGTATCTTTGCTTTTTAGTCTATTATTGTTCCTGTGGGAGAAAATCTCTTTCCTTAGTGCTCCAAGGGGTTATTTTTCTCATTTTTTAATTTGTTCATTTCCGCACTTAGAAACTTTAGCTGCTATGTAAAATTTGCTTACTTTTAATAACTGTTATTCCTTTATCTTTTGCAACTTTCTTCATTACATTTACATGCATGTAGTTTCAAGGTTGACATATATTTTGTCATATAATTTACTAATTTCAAAATTTCTGCCAACTTTCATGTGGTCAAATGAATTCCTGCAGATGTTGGTGTTGTTTATGGTTCCTTTTTTGGAAGTTACCTTTCGCACAGTCAGCATTTCATCTTGGATTTTACTATCATACTTTCATGACTGTCTTTTATAGCCTTCTGAAATAAGTTTATATGTATACACACTTTGCATCGTAATTAACTAATTATGGAATTGATGCAATATGGCAGAGTTGAAAAGATCTCTTTATGCCTTGTTCTCACAATATGAAAGGATTTTCGACATTGTTGCTTTGAAAACTACCAAGCTTCGAGGGCAAGCATGGGTTGTGTTTAGTGAAGTGCCAGTTGCCAGTAATGCAGTGAGACAGACGCAAAACTTTGCATTTTATGATAAACCAATGGCAGGTCTAAATTACACATTTGTATTTAATATACTTTGTGCATGAACATGTGGTGTGTGATTATTTGTTACAATTTTATAACTTCAAACTTCTGGAAACCAAATTTACTTGCAGACTGGCTCCCTTATGTCTCCTTGATGTAAGACAACTTACACGTAACCATTGATTGACACTCCTACAAGCTGTAGTGCCAAAATTCATGTAAGGAAGCAACATGCCAGTGATATGAGGTTTTTTTCAGGTTGATTATTATTAGCTCGCCACATAGGTAATTGTTCGTTGATATTTTGAATTTTAGGCTTGTAAGAATATAAGAAAGGTGTAAGGTTTTGATGTTCTAATTGAGTAGATTTGGTGTTGTTATGAGGTTGTGCATAGCCATCTGAAACAGTATCTAGGGGCTTTTTTTGAAGTCATTTGGGATCAATATTGCTGAAAATTTAGAAAAGAAAACTTATGGAGGACATCTATTATAGGGTTTTGGTACTAGAGTAACAGTTTATAATTTTGAGAAAGAATCGCGATTAATGAATTAGACAATTAGATTGCATAATCAATGAAATAATTGGCTTATTAAGCCAATTGTGATTAAATTATAAAATTATGCTTGCATATAATCTAGATTCAAGATAAAGAAAGAGAATGAGAAAGTCAAAGAGGATCCTAGGATCAGTTCTTGAGTATCTTAGGCATCGTATTTATGGTTGTCGTTTTCACATAAATCCCAATTCCTGCGACAACCCTTGGATTCAATCCACCAGATAGGGACATCACGAAGAAACTCCCTTGCCGAAGTGATGACATGCTCATCAATCCTTGGACTTTATTCCGCTATTTGGTAAAAAGTTTGGAAAAGAGGTAACTTCATTAGAGACAACTTCATTAGAGGTATGAAAAAAAAGGTTTTGCTTTATGTGGATTTTATTTGCATATACGTTGAGATTATTGAGATCTTGAATTTTTGCTAATTTTTCATTATGACATTGCTTTTATGAGGCCATTGAATTATCTTATTAATTTTGGAAATGTTTTGTTGATGTTTTAAAATTTCTTGATCATTTCTTAATACCTCAAGAAATATTTTTGTCCCCGAGTCGTTGGTTTTTGTACTTATGTAAAGTTTTTTCATCATGCAGGCAAGAAATATAACAGGGTTAGTTGCTCCAGCTATTGCTGCAGGTTTAGGTGCCTTAACACATACATTGGGCACCCTCGTCTCTATGACAGGAGTAAGTGGATTTGCTACAGCTGCAGCTGTAACTGCTATAAGAACTATTGTCGGCAATTTTAGATAATCTATTAATAATTGTCGATATGTTTAGAAAGTTAGATACGCATAGTTTTGGATGGTTTAAACTTTTTGTACAATTTAGAACTTAAGGATATAGTTTTTGAATGTTTGCAATGTATAGACAATTGTTGAATGCTTATAATTTATGAATATAGTTTCTTTTTGATGTTTCAAACAATATTTTGGTGGTTGATTGATGTTTTGTGATACTTGTTTGTAACATTTGTTAGATTGTACAAAATTGGTCAAATAGAACCTGATGACTTTAAAAAAAAAAAATGCATATTCTACAGCAGGCATAAGTAGTCGTTGTATTACATATTTTATGGCATGCAATCAACGTCATTATTTGTCTCACCAATTAACGGCGTGCAAAAGTAGTCGTAGAAAAAGTAACAACAACGCGCAAAATCTATCGTTAAATAGTTTTTAACAGCGTACTGTAGCATGTCGTAGAAAAAGTAACAACGACGCACAAAATCTGTCGTTACATAGTTTTTAACGGTGTATGAAGCATGTCGTTGAAAGTGAATGACTTTTCATGACTGGTCATAATATGACGTACGCCTACACGTCGTAGAAGGGTTTTTACGGCATACATTGCGCGCCGTAAAAACCCTTTTTTGTTGTAGTGTTAGCATTTCATTCATATACCTTTAGCGTACAAAAGATGGCATATACGAATATACATTCATAAATCCTAGATCCTGAATCTATAGCATATGCCATATAGGAGTGAATTAAAGTAAAAGGTAATACAGATAAGTTTATACCCTAATGGCTACATCTTTCCAAGACATTACTTGGTTAGAACAAATGGATCAAGTCCAAAAAAATTAAAAAGCCCGAGGCTTGTATAAAAGATAATTACAACAAAAAAAACAAAACAAAAAATAAGCCTTTAGCTCTACGGTCCTCCCAAGCTAAGTCCTTGGTGGAGACATATCATCAGCACTTGAAAGTTGTTTTCCACATAGGGTGAGCTAAAGCCTAGTAGAGATACTTTAACACTGAGTATGAAACTTAACGAAGTCACAAAGTGAACGCATATGCATGTAGTTTGCCAAACGTTATACTTTTCTATCTCAAAACAGTGCAATGCCATCATTATTATATTTCAATTCATGAAAATACTCCTTTACATTAGAAAACAGGGCAGTGGATACAATACACTGGAAATCTCTAGGTATGTGTCTGCCAGTAGGCTATATAAGCACTGTTAAAGCCATTTTATCTGTACTAACCAGAAGGATCGGCACCTAACCATGCGGATTTCTGGACTTTTATCAAGGACACACAAGCCAACATATAAACCACAATTACACCTCCTAACCAAATTTACTAAGGCATACACCCAT